TGCTTTGTGTTCATCTGTAAACACTAAAAGCAAGACTGTCTTCATCCGCAATATGATAGGGATCTGTGTTTGTGTGTGGGACTGTAGCCTCAGGTTTCTGTTGTTTTCTGGTAATTATGTAACTGTTTCAGGTCATTTTATGGAGTGATGATAACGTAATTTAACAAGTAATGTAACAAGTAATGTAACAAATTACCTTCTCCTGCAAGTAAGAAAGTAATGTTCTACATTACTGTTTTTTTGTTAAGTATTGTGTGATAGTTGATTTTTCTTGAGTAATGACCCAAACACTGGTGCTGACAGCATTTTTCTAGTCCAATCATTTTCTTCCAAACCTTTTATGAGCCAATCAGACTTTGTTTGGTGTGTTTTAAAATCTCAGTTCTCTTCTGCCATTCATTCATCCAGCCTGTCTCATCACCATGTCCACCTCCGACTGATCATTCAGAGGCGCATCCATGTCTCCATCTTCACCTTCACCTTCACTGGCATCTAGAATCCATGGGGATCCTGCCCTTATGCCTATCATTGCTGGGACCTCATTATACTATGATGGTTCATCAGAATCTAATCGCCAAATAATTATTAATCCAATTCTGTATCTCATGTAAATTCTGTAAATCATGTTCAGTTCTTCCAAGTGATCTCTAGTTAATAAACTGCTGTAGGATTTTTACGATTTGGAAGCACGATGTGCTGCCATCTACATTACGCCAGACATCAGAACTTTGCTAGCATTTGTGTTGTGTACAAGGATGAGAAATGAGCCATAATGTTGGAAGAAATATCATTGTTACCATAATGGTTATTTGTGCATTTTACTCATTTTATAGTCATTCATTTTACACTGAGATCAAGCTCCCTCTTACTGCAAATGAATAACAACCTGTTAGTACCTCAAACTGTCTCTTGTTAGAAAGCTCGTGTTTTTTTACTGTTCTGCAACAAAAAAGATTTCAGTACCTGTTTATCTGCATGTGTTTTGGTGATGGCATTAGCGAGGGCATTGGTGCTCAGGCCTCCTTTCACATTGATGAAACTGATGCCAGCTTCCTCGTGAATGTGCACATCCACCTGGTAATAAATACAATATAATAAAAATAAAAGATCTCATCATGTGTGATGTTATCTCAGCATTTTCCACTAATAGATACCAATAAGACAGTCACCTTGAAGTCACTGACAGGCTGCATGGGTCGAGTATGAATTTGCAGCTCGTACTTGCCATGTGTGCGTTTCATTAATTCCTCATATGTGAGTTCAAAAGTGACCTTTTTGTGAGCAGCCACAGTTACAGAGGTCTTAAATTCCTCCAGTGTCCTCCCTACAGAACTAAAGCAGATAAAAATGATCTCACTAAATTGCGATTATGGCTGTAGTTTGGACCTGAGCAGAGAATAAGATTAACTAAATATATTTTCCTATTCGCATTAACATTATTTTAGAGAAATGAAGAAAGAAGAGAAAACACAAGAACAGACCAAACTAATTTTGAATGACAGAAATATTTTCTTTTTCTTCTTCTTTATCCAAAGGAACACTCAGTGTATTTGTACAATACCTATCATTTAATCATTTAGTTAATACCTGACAAGTCCAGCACTTTCACCACGGGACACAGCTTCAGTGTACTGCTGCTGAGCTTGCTCCTTAGCTTTCACAACACCATCATAAACCTGGCCATCGATAAACCTGAAAAGGACCAAGAAAAGCCCTTGTGTAAATGCACATACTACTGAGTATCCTGTCATTTATTCTTCACTGTAGAATTCATTATTTGCAAATATCTCTGGATGGTTACACATTATTTTAACTTCACACACATTCGAAATTTACTGATGAAGGCATTCTTGGGAATCTGAACATGAAATTCAATTTCCTTTGACTCGTTCATACGATTGGCCACACGGCTTGTGATGACAGTGGTGGCATAACGACTGGTCACTGTGGAGTTGATGTGAAAGCTGTAGATGTCCCAGTCATCCTGAGCAAACACAGGGGGCACATTTCACCGAAAACATAATGGTTAACTGAGCTTAGCAGCTGACCAAAGGTCAAATTTAGCAGAAAAATAATTTGTTTTTGGATGATATCATCGCCATGAGGGAAATAGATACACATCCACACCATAAATGTGACTGGTTATGTGCTGAAAAACATCAACACATGGAAATAAATGAATTAATAGAATCACCAGCTGACACACTGCAGCTGCTGGGTGCAATAAATTATCAAATATTTATTGCAACCTGATAAATGCCAACAGTTCACCAGGATGCAGTAAATACATGGAAACAGAGTTTTACACTGTGCTATGTGTTGATTTTTGTTTTGTTTTGTTTTGTTTTGTTTTTGTGGATGATGATAAATCGCTTAATCTAGCACTAACCATCACTGTTATTAAATGTATATCTTTAAACATTAAAATGAGCTAATAGACTACTTTATACTCTGACTCTAGACAAAGGATACAGTAAACATGCACACATTCAGGATTTCTTCACTTCAGGTGATTACATTATCTTCTATCTGTTACTTAAAGGCTTAAGCTTATTCCAGTCCTTATGTTAAATTATTATCATGTAATAGGACCAACATGAAGTAACCCTGGAGGAAGAAGTCAAAAGGACCTTCACCCTGCAAAGTTCAGTGTATTTCACCTGACTGAAAGACGCCAAGAGAGATAAAAATCAATGTACCTCATAAATCTCTTGTTATCTGTGAAGTATAAATAGCACTTTTTAAGGATTTTGTTACATTGAAATACTGTTGCTGCCCTTTATGTGTACTGAACTTACCTTGTTTGGCTGTGTGGAAGCCAAAACCAGCAGGAATATGATGAAGGTGATTTGCACCACGGTTCTCCCCATGACGCCTCCAACCAAAATGCCAGCAAAACAGCCAAAACACTCTTTTGAACTCAAACAAGGACAGCGTTATTGTGTACCTATTTTTTTAAAGTTCAAACTCTGTTTTCCCTATCTCCAGTTTCAACAACTGTCTGTGACAAAAACACCCACTCGCATAAGTAAATCAGTAATTTACCAGAAGTCCAGCAGTTTCTGTGGGAGTTCATGTTTACATTGAGGGTCAAACCTTTGCACTTTACCAGGACTTTGGTCCCACGGCTGTCTTTTCATTAGTGACAGGAAATTCTGTTTCCTGTCTTGGCAATAATTTGTCTTTCCATTACTAGTGACTGTAACTAATAATGTTTTGTTTAGGGCAAAAAAAATATTTATGACTTAAAGTATGTAGTTGAGACTGTGCCATTCTGAAACCATCTGAAAGGTGCTGGGAAAAACAGCCTTGAAGGTTTCATTGCAAGCATTAGATAAAGCATTCATCACTGGCATGAATATCATGGTTATTTGGGGCTTTTAATGATTTACTTGAAAAGTTCTTTTTCCAAGGTTGAATACAGCATTCATCTTTAACGACTTTAAAAAGCATGAATTGGATTATTTTTTAAATTTATTTTAAATTTTATCTAATCCACACAGTGTCAAATCTATACATACACCATCATTAATATTTGGTTTAAAGTCGTTTCGCAAATTGAACCCAAGCCAAATGCTTTTGGTAGCAATTAACAAGCTTCTGGCATAATTTGGCTGGATATTTAACCACTCTTCTTGGCATAATTGGCATAACTGAGTTCATTTAAATTAGTTTCTTTGCATAGAGCCAGCTTTTAAGTGTTGTCCACATAGGATTAAGGCTGAAGCTTTGGCCATTGCAGATGTTTGCTTTCTTTATCCAAAACTGTAATTGGCGTGTGCTTCAGATTAGCATTCTGTTGGAACACCCAGCTGTGTCCAAATCACCTCCAAGTCAACATATGTGGAGTCCTCCTGCTCCTGCTTCATTATTTCATCCACCTTGTGCAGTGTTGCAGTACCACTAGCAACAAAACAGCTCCAGACCACGACACTACCACCACCATGCTTGACTGCGGGTACAGAGTTTTCAGGTTTCTTAGCCTCACCTTTACTCCTCCAAACATACCTCTTGTCATTGTGGCCAAGTAGCTTAATCTTTTCTCCATCTGTCCAAAACATTTTTTCTAGAAGCCAGTTTGCTTGCCCATGTGGGCAGCTGCAGGTTTCAATCAATATTAAATCTGTGGAATTTGGAGCAGGGGTTTCTTTCTTGGTCAACATGTCTTGGTCGATGATGAAACCAGTTTCCAGTTGGTAGCGTACTTGAACATTGGTAGATCCAGTGTTGTTCCTGAACATCACTAATTTCCTCACATCTGAGGGTGGCTGCTGGCCTTCTTTAAGACCTTGGCAATGTGGTGACACATCCAGATTGACTTGTGTATATACACAACTGTTTAAACTAGCAATCTTGGAATCTCCAGTTATTTAGAAATGCTTCCAAGACACCTTGACAATTTGTGTAATTCTGGAGTTCTACTTTTTAGATTTCCTTGGACAATAATAATAATAACAATAATGGATTGCATTTATATAGCGCTTTTTGGGGCCCTCAAAGCGCTTTACAATTCCATTATTCATTCACACACTGGTGGAGGCAAGCTACAGTTGTAGCCACAGCTGCCTTGGGGCAGACTGACAGAGGCAGTAGGTGAAGTGTCTTGCCCAAGGACACAACGACTGAGACTGTCCGAGCCGGGGCTCAAACCGGCAACCTTCCGGTTACAAGACGAACTGCCAACTCTTTGAGCCACAATCAAGATCAGGATGATCTTCAAACTGCAGTGTCAAGTGTATTATGCCTGACAGAAAGATACTAATACACAAAAACTTTAAGTAAACACCTCAGAAATCTCCTATTATCAGTGAAATACAAATACCAGTGGTGAAATGTGGATTTTAACATAGATTTTAGCCTCTGTTTGGTGAAATATAGAGTGATAACTTTCCCAGAACTGCATTTGCAAAACTGTCTTTTCATTTGTAATAAGCAATACTGTTTTGGCGAATCAGAGTGGAGAAGAGTAAAGACCCAGAGACAATTTGGCTTGTGACTACTAATGAAAGCAGTATGTGACTAATATTGTGTGGTGTCAAGCAAAAATGAATTTATTTATGTCTTCAAGTATGTACAGCTTTTTTTTGAGAAGGTATCAATCTGACAAGGTCAGGAAACTGCTGGGAAAACAGGTGATATAGCAGGCAAAAGCAATCATACATCTAGCTGTCATTGCAAGCATTAGATTTAAAGACAGAAGTTACAGTGGAAAGCACAAAGAAAACTACTGCATAGGAGATTAAAAAAAATATCTAGGTCATTATTAAAGATCTACCTTATAGACAAATAATCCATTTTCAATTACTCTCTAATGTGCAAAAGTGAAACAATTTTAAAGGGTCATGCCAATGATTTTACATTTAAGGTTCAGTTTATGATGTGTTATACTCAGTCTGCGTAATGTGTTTTGTGAATTTGAAATAATTTTTTTAAATGTTGAAAGATAACAACCCTGATGATGTAAAGATGCTAGCGTGTTGCATTATGGGAAATCTAGCGTCCTCTAATTCTGCAAATATAGAACATTTCTGTTTTGGTTCCCCAAAAGTGTTTATTGTGCCTTTACAGAACTGCTTGGCTTACCATACTGACTGTGTAGTTTTACACAGGGAAACAAGGGACCACATTTATAAAAGCAAGTGTTTTCTTAAGATGACTGTGCCATTTGTACTCAAAAATACACAAAATGACTTATGCAACCCCAGAACTCTTGTAAGGGAGTAAATGATTTATGCAAGAGATGTATTAAAGTATTGTTTTTGACTAAAATAGTGAAAGCACTATATTTTTTGGAAATCCTTGAATCATTTTAGCCTTAATACGTATAAGCATGAGCTAAAAGGCCAGCATCTAATATACAATTTTGAAAACCTATGCCTATTACGCAAACATCAAACAGTTGTGGCTTTTCGGTAATTCACATTCATCATATGCCCCCCTAATATTATTACATCAACAGCATTTATCAAACGAAAACCATCCACGCAGTAATCTCTTAAAAACCACAAGGCAACAATATGTAAAGCTACAGATTGCATTAGTAGAGGTATGGGATGATTATGATTTTGACTCGTGTGTTGAGTCCTTCAGCCCTCCTTATGTATGATTTCAATCGCTTTCTCTGAACAACATCCACTCTAAACACAGAACACCACTCAGTGGGGATTCAGAGAACATCCGTGTGGTCATGCAGGCTGCTGTGCAGGTGCTAAAGCAATCCCACAAGAACATGACTTCAGTGAACAAGGAAACTTACACAAGTATATGCTAACCTAATGCAGCTTTGGATATTCATTAATCTTTTTACAATCTCTGATATTTAATGTACCGCAACACCGGATTGTAGTGTTTAGCTGTGTTTTGTTGCTAAATTAAACATGTTTTAATCCACATTCATTATTCAAATCACATAATTTACCTGTGAAGGTGAAAGCTTATATAGAATATATCTAGAGTATGCTTTGAATCTAAATGCTTTTCTTCAAAAAACAGAAACTGCATTTCAAGGCACTCTCACAGGTGTTTTTTTTTTCCACCTGAAGATAAAGTTCAAGTTCATTCAAATCTCTTAAGGATGTTTCAAGCGCTTGTGCTGGAAGCATTTCATCGATGAAGAATGAAACCTATCCTTGGACTGAGAGAGAGTAAAGCGACTGGCCTTAGTGACCAGGATGTCAAGTCTTCACAGTGATGGCATGATGGTGGCAAATAAGGTGTTGCATTAAGACACGTAACTGCAGCACCAACCTACAGATTATCTAATGGTAACTGTACAAACACAGGAGCTATTTACAGACTGACGATAATTCATATATACACTCGGCAGCTTATATATATATGAGTGAGATGAGCAACACAAACATCAGCTGTTTAACTGAAAAAACAATATGAATGAGAAATACAGTATGTACATTCAATGCACATACAGAAAAAGAAATCTGCACTTTAATGCACGATTCAGCTAATTACAAGTGGACTGCACTCAAGGATTATGCATTGTAATACGGACATGAGGTATGTTGATGCAAAATGACACAAATAACAAAAAGACTAAGGATGAGTATGTACATATGATTACATACGTGCTGGTTATATATATTTACACTATTATGTACAGATTGACTAGAACTACAATGAGATATATTTTTGGTAACGGAGTTGGAAGACACAATGCTACAGAGATTAGAGAGTCCTCGCCTTGGGGTCAGTTGGCTGATATGATGGTGCTGGAATGGAGCTGTGGGTATCCTGAGCTGAGGCCACAGCAGGAAAGGCAAAGACTCCTGGAGGAAGGGGAAAGAAAAACCCAGGCCACTGGCTAATAGAGAGAGGTGAGGGCAAGGCCCTGAATGGAGCAGGAGAGTGATGCTGATAAGAGGGATGTGCCCCCGCCGGCGGGGTAGCGATCATTGTTGACCCAGGGGCATCAGGCCAGGACAGTGGCAAACTACAGGCCTCTGGTCCTGAAGCTGTCCATGGCGATAACTAAAAGGGTTACATAGTTAAAAGCAAATAGTAAACATAGCACTTTTGCATATTAAAACAATAATAGCTACACTAACATGTAGACATGCAGGATACAGTACTGCAATACTAGCATGGCAATAACCTCTAGTAATCTTAACGAATGCCCCAGCATGCATTAGGAAATGAAATACAATAATCAAGTCAGAGTGCAAGTCATGATAAAATGAAAGCGTATTACTGTATTCTGTAATGAACTCTTCTAATTAATGAGTCCCTACAACATTAAGGCATTTTGAAGTTATAGCCATTAGAGTAGTTTTATACACTTCAGGCCTCATGATCTAAACACTGTATATTTGCAATATCTCTTTTATAGAATAGATAATAACCATAGCACTCACATCTGAAGCCCTAGCAAGCTGTTCACTTGTTTGAAGTGGATCCTGATCCCAAAGCTGGGGTCGAGTTATACTCAAAGAGTTAGTGCGAGGCCGGTGGGTGACAATCAGAACCTCCTGGGCCCAGTCATCCATTAGTCGTTGTAAGTCTTCAGGCAGGTTGCTATCATGGGCACTCGCAGATGTGCTACTGTATGTGCCTGTTTTGTTGTTGCTGTTATTGGCTTGAGCTTGGGCCAATCCTATCACCGGCTGATGTGGAGGAGGTGTGACACCCCCAGGCAGCTGCTGTGACTGATTGGAAGCCCCTGCTGAAGCTCCAGACCCTAAAAAAGACACACACACATATAAACACCTGGTTTAATACCCTGATTACAACATGAAACAAACAACTTGACTTATAGAAAAACAAATTCTTAATGAGACTGTAATTTTACATACTGCTACCACGCTCTTTACCAAGACAAAGTCGCTTCAGTGTCGCCCCTACAGAACAAAAAAAGATTAATGCAAATCGCTGCTTTCATCAGCAGGTTATAATGGTCAATAACGGGGAACGGTGCAAAACAAAGCTACAGAGCACTGCAAAACAAGGGAATAAAGTCACACTAACAAATGGATAAACAAGGCAATCATTCCCCTTAAATGAGACAATCCGTATAGTTAGCAAATCATGCAGATGACCCATGTTTAAGGCATTACAAAGTGCAGGATATCAAAGTGACAGATAACAAACAGGTAATACAGGGTTAGAAAGAAGCATGACGAGAAAATCTATTGTAGTTTGGGATGCATGAGACATGCAAGAGTCTATTTCCTAGGAATACAAAGTTGATAAGTGCTTATTGCACACAGACAGAGAGCAGAAGAATTAGTGAGACACGTGAAACGTGAGGTAAAACTCAATACTTATAAAAATACGTTGAATAATAAATAAATAAAAACAGTTTTTAAACATGACTGATAGCTATTGGGTAAAATTCTCAGCTTCTCTTTCAGGGAATTTGTGTAAACTGCTGAATAAAATAAAATCATCTCTGAAATGAAATAATACAATAAAATACCAACTAATAACAATGAGGCAGGGAAAAAAATAGCACATAAAAAACCCTGTGAACTAAAAGGAGTTTTACTGAAAATATGGAAACCAGAAAATATGAAGCTATGCAGGAAGAGAAGAGATACAAACAGATAGATAAAGACACAGGCCCACTGAGAAATCTAGCTCGTGGCTTGCTACTCGATTTATAGGTCACTCTCTCAGATGGTTGAGGGTAATTAGACCAGCCTGTAGAGGAGCATAATCAAGGGGAAAAGACAACAGGGTAAGAAGAATAAACACTCCATTGCCAACATTATTAAACAAAGCAACAACACAAATAATGGTTTTATTAATACTCTTTTATTAATACTGTTGAATCAGGGTGTGTGGTACCTTGCCCCGGTGGCACTTGTGTGCCAGTTCCATCTCCGTGTAGTCCAGCATAAATATTATCAGAAGATAAAGAGCCTTTAAGGGAGCAGGGCTGCTGAGTCTGCACAGGCTCCGAGGTTGAGCTGGGAAGGTGGCTGGTGCATGACCGGGCCCTGCTGTGAGTGGGGAAAGACCCTTTAGCTGGAGACCCATTTAAACTAACTGTGTTGTCACCCGTACCTGCAGCAGCACCTAAAGACACACAAATGCAAGAGGATAACATCGATAAATAGTCTTTCAGTACATATTCTTAACTTTTAGTGCTTGGATTTCTGCAAAGCCACTCACTGGATCTGCTAGAGTCACCAGTTTTGGTTGTGACATTTCTAAACTGTTGAACCAGAGGGCTGAGAAGTTTGCCTGGCTTCAGCCTGTGCTTGCTGGACCTCTTTCTACGGCTGGCATGTGGTGCAGCAACTCCCAGGCCAGGAGGAGGAACTTTACCAAGTCTTCGATACAGGAGCTCCACTTCCCCTCGCTGATGGGCCTGCAGCTCAGAGATTTCCTTCAGATGTCTGAGGAAACCCAGGAGAGAAAAATAATAATGACTTACAAGCTAAATGACAAAATATCTTCATATACAAACATGCTGCATGACAGAAAGCAAACCAAAAGCGATGCTTACTTCTCCCTGAGTCTTTGTAGTTCTCTCTTTATGTCTGAATCCTCCATCTCGGAGTCATTATCGCTGCTGCCATAGGCAGAGCCGTGCACCCCACCATGCCTGCTCGGTGAGTCAGAGCTCTGCACGCTGCTGCTGCGACCAGAACGACGGAGAAAGGCCACTGCCCTTTTCATGAGGTCACTTCCTCTGCGCTCAGAGCGGGAGTGTTGCAACGGGGTGGCAGGAGTCAGCTTTGCAGGGCTGCTCTCTGCCCCTGAATCTGAGGAGAGGAAGCGAGCGTGGACCGTGACATCCACAGGGACGGATGTCATTGCACGAGGTAAAGAGCCCCGCTTGGCGTTAGAAGGAGGCGTGTCCAGATAGAAATCAGGCGGTGCAGAGTAACGGCTACAACGTGTCCTCTGTGTAATGTCATCTTCAGTGCTCACCACAGAGAAACGGCCAATTGTGGTGGAGGTAGCCATGGCATCAAACTGACCATGGTCCCTAATGTATCCCACAGGGTGCGCCGGTGAGGCAGCGCTGCTCCAGCTCCTTTGCTTCACATCTCGTCTGTTGGCCACTTCAGGGGCAACAGGAGTGATCTGCCAAAAGCACAGAAGAAGAATTCGTATGACATCATGAATGGTGTGAAAGAAGAAAATGGTGCTGAATACACAGCTCTACCTTCACTTTAAATGTGTGAACATACTCTAGAACATACCTTAAATCGACCTCTTGCTCCAGAGCATGAAGCAGAGTGAGGAACGTGTCTTCTTGACAGGGATGCTGGAAGGAAAATATCCACAATACTAAAACTGTAGCACTGCAGGAATTAACTCGCATCTCATTTTACTTAGGAGATAATGATGCCGATTATGTTGCGATGTTTGACGTACCACACACAGCTGAATCACTCAGTGCGCTCAAACTGTCCATTCTCTCTGGAATTTGAGGCTTATAGAGGGCAGAGGATACAAACTATTACTCGTTGTCCTTTAAAATACTTGATGAGGAACAGCTAAATAATATTTGTCATTCTCTCTTAGATCAGTTTAGCTGTGCTCCTTTTCTTGAACTCCATTAAAACACTAAAATATATTAAACAGTTAAATTAATATTATTTGGATACAGTACAACACAGTACAAAACATACTTACCAGCTGTTCACCTCCTCTGTAGCGTCCCTCCCCTATTGGCCCTGGGGTGCTGTTTCCTGAGCCTCCTGTGGCGCTGTCTGGACCAGGAGGAGACTGGATGTACTCTGTGCCAGACCCTGGTGTCTCTGCAGCGCTGCCTGATGGATACATGGGAGCATACTCCTGGTAGAGCAAATTCCGTAGTTTCTCATCCAGGGTTTTAATGGTGCTGTCCACAAAGCCGCTACGAGCCAGTCTTCCTTCACCATCGGACTCACTGGGACCTGCACCATGCTGGGATGGTGCTGGACTCTGTGGTAGTGAGGACACTTTGGTCCCTCCAACAGTGGCAAAAGGCTGATGCAGCACCACAGGTTGCTGTGGTCGCTCGCTCCGTGCAGCAGGGGCGTAGGAGACAGCCGGTGCCTCTTTGACTGATCCTGGCTCCTGGAGCGGAAGAGTAAGCGGAGATCCAACCTGTGAAGTGCTCACATCGAGAGAGAGGGGCATGACCAGAGGGCAGCAGGGCACGTCGTCAGCAATAGAAACCGGGCATGTCATATCAGGCAACTTCTGAGATGCATGGATTGGTGAGATGGAGCCGAGAGGGGATCCCTGCGAATCTTCCACAGGGAAAGCAGCATGCGGGGATGATGTTTGTGTTCTGGCTGTCTGGGCTTGCATGCTGTGTTGCATTGAACTGCCTGCTGGCTCCACTGATGGCACTGACTGGAGAGTCGGAGGTGCAGACACAGGAGGTGACAGGGTGGCCAGGAGGAGCGGGTCTGTGTTGGACATTATTGGAGGACTGCAGAATCCGTACACGTCGTAAGAGAAACCTCCACTTCCCCCAGACATTGTGGAAGATGAACCCTCTTCTGCAAAAGGTTTTTAAAAAGGTAGAATCAAAATTACACAGAATTGTGATATTTATTTATTTATTTTAAAAAAAGGTCTACTTTATTTATTGTGAAATCAGTTTTTGCCCATCTGAGCTGCAGGATGCCTGTCATTGTACTGCCACAAGGTGGTGCTCTTGCTCCTTGAAGCTGCTGGATATTATTGGAAAATTTGCAGTCACCTCTGGAGGGCTTTGCAGTGGTGCTGTCAGCAGGGTGCATAGCGGCTGAGCTCCCAGGTGACTGCGTAGTTGTCCCGTCAGAGGGGGTCTCCTGACTGGATGTAGGTATCTCCTCTACAGGGCAGATTATGAACCATCTCTTTCCTGTATGAAGAACTGGGAAGAATTTAAAAAAAAAAAAAAAGTTATAGTGACGAGGAAAAAGGATTTACCAGACATGCATATGGGTAAATGTTTTTCTAAGAAAAGTGTTATACCATTTTGCTGATAGACTGGTTGAGATCCTCCAGGCTGCTGACTCTACAAAGAAATGTACAGATGAAAGCTAAGTCAGTCTGCTAATTGCTAATTTCAAGCAATGAGTGTATTTGTTTCTTACCTCTCCTACTAATGCTTCAAATGGCTGGACTTGTAAAGGACTGCAACTCAAAGCTGTGTCCCTTTCACCCTCCATGTCTTCATTCAGCATGTCTTCAGCTTTATCCACAATATCCTTCAGCTGGTCAATAAAGATTTCCTTCTCTAACATCAAGATGAAGCCATTCTCTACCTGTAGATATGCAGTTGTTAAGATGTTAAACAATAATGTAAATATTAAGAAATGATTAAACACAAAGTCTAGATTGTACAAGTCTGGATTAACCATGTAAGTAGCGATTTCCTCGGGAGCGTCTCCATCCAGATCAAATTTAAATGTCACCATTTTGTGGTTGTGAGTCTCCAGCTGGCATTCGACCATTTTATCACCAGTGTTGCAAACCTGTGGGAGCAGTGCTTACACTTTACAAACTGAAAAATAAAAGATTTCAAGAAACTGTACATTCTGACACCACGAATGTCACCAAGACTCACATTGAGCATGCTCAGCTTTGGTTTGCTGGTCTTTTCCTGCCTGGAACGGGTGCGGGCAGACTTGCGGTGATGTTTCCTCGGTTTCCCATCTCCCTTTCCCACACTAGCAAAGCTTTCATAGCCATCACTTGTTTCCTTACCAGATGGTATATCAGACTTGAGACTAAAACGAAAAAGAACATTTTAAGACAGTTTAGCAATTCACGGCCAAGTGGCACATTTTCCTCACACAAAATTGTAAAAACTACAGAATCTGAAAAGATATAAAATATTTTTTTTTAAAAAAATAACAGATACACACCTGTCAAATTCATAACTGGGTAAAGATATTGGTTTTTCCTGAAGCACCTCCTGAAAATAGAAAAATGGGAGTGTAAGAGGACCTCGATGAAGGACCTATAATGGATCACTGGGGGACTAAGCCTTACTGTGGTTAATGTATAATGTAATATGGTTAATGTGTGTTGTTACTTCTCAGCATGTTAAACTAAGATTCAGAAGCTGGTGTCATGATGGGACTGATGTATAAAATTTATGTTAATGTAATTTGAAATGAATCCTGCAGCTTGAACGTTCTTTCTGACCAGCGGATACTTTAATACAGTCATGTGAAAAAGAAAGTTTTTACAGAGCTACAGTATGAGCCATCATTTGTGGAAGTAGTAATAATGTGAAGTAATTGGTTTCTGTATCCCTTGCTGAGGTTTGCTGGCATTCATTTATGCACGGCTCTCTTCAGGTCCTGCCACAGCATTTCAGTCAGGTTGAGGTCTGCACTTTGGACCAGTGACACATCTTGTCTCTTTCAGCCATTCTGTTGTAGAATTGCTGCTGCATTTGGGATCAATTTCAGCCAGTCTTGAGCTGTCAGGCATATGGCCTCAAATGTGACTCTAGATTACTTTAATATACAGTGGAGTCCGTGGTCAACTCAATGAATGCTCTGGTTTTGTAGCTGCAAAACAAGCACAAATAATCACCCTCCTCAACCATGCTTGACACAGCTGCTATGAATTGCACTGATGTGCTGGCGTATTGTAATCTAAACGAACCTAAGCTGTGGAGCCATGTTCTTTCATGAACTTTAACACCTGACATGGTTAATAAAGCCTCTGGAGTCTGAGAAGCGTTTTTTTCCCCCCCACAGTTTCTTGGAGCATCGTAAGGTCTGATCTTGGGCTGAATTTTCAGAGACGTTAAAAACTGGTAAGACTGTGGCGTTGAGTTACCCCCACACCTAACTGCCTAAACCTCTGCTTTCACAAGTGCTGATGATCAGTTAATCAAGTTTTCTTTAGAAGCACCTGGCTGGTGTACTTACTTTTTCATGGATCTCCAAAGAGTTCTGTGAAGAACTTTCTTTTTCACATGACTTTATTTGTCATTTGCAGAGACAATTTTAATCAAGCACAGGTAAAGCTTATAGAATTTACATAAGTGTATAAACTGGTATTGTTCTCAAATATTCACAGACATTGGATTCATCACTACCTCTGCACAGGGCTCTTGATGAGGGGTGCTGGATGCAGATGCCATGTCTGCAGTTTGCTGAGTTGCAGGCAGGCTGGAACACTCGGGTATTGAGACTGTTGTCTGGGTGCCAGGAGGCTGCAGAACTGGAGCTGGGACTGAAGTTGTGACAGAAGCTGGAGCGGGAACAGGAGCTGCAGACTGAACTGGTGCTGGCAGGGTGTTTGGGCCTGAAACCAAGCCTGGGACTGACATTTCGGGTTTGGATGAAAGTATGCTCACAGAGGAGACTTCTGTTTGCTCCAAAATGGGACCCGATGCTGATACTAGTGGTTGAGCTGGGGCTGAGACTGCAGCTTGAATTGCTGTTGGAACTTGTATTGGGATTGAAGTGGGGGATTTAAGAAGGGTTGTGGTTTGAGGCATAACTGCAGCCTGAGCTGATACTGGGACTTGAAGTTGGTTTTGTGCTCCCACCACAGCCAGAATTTGTGCTGGAGGTTGAGTAACAACATTAGCTGGGATTGGGATTGACGCTGGGGCTGGGACTGGGGCTGAAATTGTAGAAGCTCCTGCTAAGTCAAGGCCAGCTCCACTAGTTTCTGAATCTGTTCCCCTTCCCCAGAGAGAAGTCTGAACAGTAGGCAAAACTGAGTGAACCGCACCCAAATGCTGAAAGTCTCCCAGAGTGCCATGCGGAGTGAGTGACTGTATCTGAAAGAAAACAAGCACATTTAAAGAATTGTTCATCAGTTAGTTCAAGTACTCTGTGTCTTCGAGTCGCTAAACCCATGCCCAGCAAGCATCACACCCATTCCACCTTAGCATTACAGATTTCCTATGATCCAACCAACCATTACAGTGAGAACTGAGTGAAATATTCACCTGGACAGGCTGCTCAGCCAGACCGTGCTCAGGATTGGGGGCAGGGTATGGGGTGGGTTGTACCTGAGAGAGAGGTAAGGGATGGGTGGAATGGAAACTTAGGTTTGGTTGAGATGTGGAGGGGCTGCCCTGCTGCTGTGGCACTGCTGAGGACACGGCCATGGCAAAAAATGGGAGGGGGAATGCCACACTGGCTACATGCTGAGGTGTGGACAGAGGAGTGCCAAGAGTAGACATAGATGGCATGGCAGAATGAGGAATCAGAGGCAGAGAGGGACGGTGGGGTGAACGTGAGTAATAGGTGCTAGACATAGTGGATTCACTGCTGCTGTAGACAGATAGCAGAGGAGCTGGCGAGACGGGGGAAGGCTTGTGGCCCCCTGTTTGAATAACTGCATATGGTGAGGAAAACTGGGAAAGAAAAAGGGAAAATGATATAAAATGAACAAAGATAACCAATAGAAATAACATTCACACAGGCCCCTTATTTATTACTCTACCCTGCCACCTATTATATCATTTTATAGGAAGATTTGTTGTTGTCTTCTCTAACACAACACACCTGCATGCTGATCTGCAGGGGTAGAAGTGGGGAAGGAGCACTGGAGACTAACTGTGGAAAACTGGTAGCGGTGTCAGGATGACTCAGGTGGGAAGCAGGCTGCTCTGCAGATAACAGCTAAGGAAGGAAATGACATGTTTGGGGTTTTGTCTTTCTTCTTTTCTTTTTTTACTTATTTAGTTTATTTTACAGTATGAATCTGAAACTGAGAATTCAAACTAATAATTAAACAGTTTAACAGCTTCACTTTATTACAAGTGAGCTGCAGGGCGGGCAGACTTGTGATTCAGTTATTCTGCATGCTGCTCTACCTTTGGCAGGATAGCAGCTGGTTGGAGATGGTACTACAGTGAGGAGAGATAAATGTGAAGGAGACACAAACCACATGAACAGCTATTCACATCACACACATAAACACAGATATACAGTACAGTGCACATTGGCTATTAAAGGGAAAATCAGATACACTTTTCACCCACCTCACACACAGCACTAGACCTACTTGACTTAAAATGGCCAGCACCACTAAATCAAATGGCAGATTAACTTCCATTATATTGCATGTTTCAGTTTATGATTTAAAAGTTGAAATTGTATTTTTTATATTACATGTCAAATGACGAGACCCTGCGAGTCAAGCACGCTAGGACAGGCAGCTGGGTGGGCTCCAATGAGCGACTTTCAAACCGTCGCTTCATAATTCAGATTTTTGGGTCTCACTACAGATGTTGCCAGGGTATTTTAGAGTCAGATGTATGCAGTACCTGCTCCTGGTTGGGCTGGGCAGTGTTCTGTGTCTGTAGAGTTGGGCCTGCAGCTGGAAAGCACTGTCTGCTCTGGTTAGCAGCAGTGGCTGGCGTAGCTGGAGCAGGAGCTGTCTGTCAGAAACACATAATGGGAGACCTTCTTTAGGGATAGTAGAACTGTATAATATGTGCTTGTATTTAATACAACAAATGTGGCTCACACTTTAGTTTGTCAAAGCATTTGTGGTCACTTGCAAGAAAATGGAGAGGGGTGTTTTTTAGCAGCTGGAATTGTTCATCAAGGGCAGTTAAAATGGAAATGGGAAGCGGCAGCATTTATCTATCATTGCCCATCCAACATGTTAAGAGAAGCACTTTGAGCGAGTAATTCAGCACTTAATGTTGATTAAGCAGGAGCAAAAACAGGCTGCTAACATACTGGGCAGGGGAGAGAGGCAACTTGCAGGATCAGGAAAGATACAGCAGGCTGCTGCTATGGCATTTCAGGCTATGCAAAGTCTTCTTCTCTAACCCACCAGAGAATTGGCTCTGTCTTTGCTGTGATGTGATGATAACTGCAGGTTCCTAACCACATTTGGAGAACAGTAGAACGGAGCATCCAGGCTCTGGCTCTTGTCTTTATGCTCACGTACTGAAGAACAACAAACCCCAGTTTGGTTGTGTAGTGGATGATTAACACCTCTATCAGAGAGGGTGGGGGAGCTGGTCCTGCGACTGACAATGTGATGGAGACAGTAGTTGAGGAGCGTGAGATCTCCACCTTCATACAAACTCCGTGGGAACACATTTTGTGAAGGTGGAGAAAGATGTGAAGGAGAAGCTGCCACGACGGGCTGACAATTTGATGATGTGGTAGTGGGCAGAGAGGGAGGAGACCTTGGCTGATGAAGAGATGTGGGCGAGCTTGGCTTGGAGACTGGAGCAAACTGGGTGGATGTGGTGTCAGTGCGTTTGTGTGTGTGTCCCAGTGATCCACCTCCTTTTGTCCTGTCCTTGCAGAGGAGAGACATGCAAGCTTTGCAGTGATGGTGAGGCCCTGGGCTGCGTGGGACACATGGAGGCAGCTCTGCAGGAGGTTGTAAATTAAGGGGAAGGTGAGGTGAATCGAAATGACTTGCTGAGTCATGATGAGAGTGTTGATGGGGGAGCAAGAAAGGCGATAACAATGACGGCTTCTGGGCAGAGTTAGCATACAGGCAGTTTGTATCGTGCACTCGACTCTCTGTGCTATTTGCCGGAGACACTTCCTGTAACGGACACAAGCAGGGGAGTGGAGTTGTCTTAGTTAGCGATTGCATCCTACACTGTACCATCTCAACCATTGAGGCACTGCCACGCCTAAGACACATAGTACTTTCAGTGATGAGCAGGTTCTCATGGCAAACAAAGGGATCACTGTAGTGACGCTGATGACGTATCATTCCGAAAAAGAAAATAACATTTTCGTTATTTCAGAAAAATATCATTAAGGATATCAGAAAGAGAAAATGAAAATAACATGAAATGCTTTTACTCACTGTTTGACACTGATAAGGCCCCTGGTGCAGTTGTGATGCAGGTTGTTGAAAGGTCCCAGGGTGCAGCTGGCCTGCGGTTTTCTGGTACGCTCCTTGGTGTAACTGCACGGACTGTGCAGTGGACTGCTGGTAAGGCCCCTGGTGCAGCTGAGGGTCAGTCTGTGCAGGAGGACTGTAGATAATCTGAGTTGTGGTAACAGGTTCTTGAAACGTTGGGTAGGGGCCATTCTGCTGATTGTTTTGCTCATCTAATTGCATGGTGGAGCTCACTCCACTGCCAGCTGTAATAAGAGAGCATGTAAAAGATTATGATTCACCGTGATGCTTTTTGTCCATATGCAGGAAGGACAGACACTCAAAAAGAGAGATGGGGTGTGGGAGACAGTGGAGTAGAATCTTAATAAAATTCAAATGCTAAATGATGTCACGTAATTTGGCATCACTCAGACACTGCAGCAGCCATATGTCTGATTCTCGCTTAGGTTCACTGAAACTATTTTAGCAACAGTCTGTGTCGTGTGTTTTAACCAGTGTTTGATTCTGTTGACCAAGATGATAACAAATGCACAAGGAGAAAAACTATCATGACATGTGTTGATACTTTTGTCAGCACATTTCATATGAGCGAGATGAAGACGTTCTGGAAATACGAGATCCAAACAGAGCTAATTACGTTGTGTAGATAGGTAGGATCCAATCAGAAGTAATCTCCTTGTGCAGTAAGGTTAGATACACACATTTAATCTGAAAAACACGCAGGGAGGGCAGGCTCAGCTATGCTTTCTCACGATAACACAACAAAATATCTCTTAGCAGGAAAAGCAGCAGCATTTCATATTTGATGTCATGGAAAATAAAATGCTTTGTAAACCATGTGGATCAACTCTCACCAGTAAAAACATGACAAACTTTTACACTTTATATTTTAGTGAACTGAATCACTTCAGATTTAGTTTGTGATGCTCTTGCGATATTGAATCAACTAAAACTAAAAGAGCTTAGATGTTTAAATTCTTAATAAAATTAAAACTGGTCAAAATTGGCTCTTAAAATCAACACTGGTTTTAACTTCAGGTTTTGTGTTAATGCACACATTCACATAATATTCTAATTCCAGTTTCTTACATGTGGTAGATGTGGCAGCGGGGACGGTGCAGATCAGAGTCTGCTGCTCTGACTCTTGGTCTTCATAATCTGTAGTAGCTAATGCAGCTCCCTGTGGCATCCCTGTACTGGGAACCTGTAGGAGGTTCTGCTGAGTTTTCTTCACGGGTGTCTCGCTGTTTCCATTTGGTGAGACAGTCCGCTCCCTCCTCCATTTGATTAGAGCTACACGATCTCTGATGGACTTCCCAACGATCTTCACATCACAATCCAGAAAGAAACCTGAATCCACCTATGGAGGCACAGGCAAGATACTCACTGCAGCTCAGAACTACCCATCCTGCATTAACAGAAGTTTGCATGAAGAGCGAAAGGTCAAGTGATCAGTTGCCCTAGTTCAGGAGCGTCAAACTCACTTTTTACACCAAGTGCATGTAAAGACTTTTAACTAAACAATTAATAATTACTGTTATGTAATATAAATGCCCAGATGGAGCTCTTTACCAACAGGAAAAACTCTAAAATTGATTAAAATACAATTGAAAATCGAAAATATATGCCCTCCTTTTCCCAAAGCTCTCTAGTGGGCCCGACTGTCTTTGCCGAGCTGATTCTTTCCCCCGTGCCTTATGTTTGACACCCCTGCTCTAGTGTCTATGTAGACATAGTCCTGTGGTATCTGAAGCACTTCGCAGTACTGCAAACCAGTAACGCACTCCTTACATCAGACCTACATCAGAAGATGTGTTCCAATGTAATGACTTCCATAACATTATTAGACACTTTGTATATCATTATGCTGATAGCCCAACTACCTCATAACAGGAAATAACAGAAACTGAATTGAAATAGCAAACCACAAAAAAAACAAAAAAAACAAAACTACTTTTGTTATGGTTAGAGTTTAAATTCATTTCCCCTCTATCAGTCCATAAACCTAATCTCACTGACTGGCTGTAGGAAGAAGCCAGAGTACCCAGACACAGGGAGAACATACAAACTCTAGACAGAAAGGCTCCGGCCAGATGATGGATTCAAACCCAGGTGTTTGTTGCGAGGCAACATTTTAACAGACACCAATAAGAAACATGAACTGGCAAAGCACTGAGAAACAGTGCTTTTTGAAAAAAAATTTCCTTACCATTTCTTGGGCAACAACTTCTGGGACCTCATGCACCAAATCAAAGGTAAACTCAATGGCACCAGTGTCTTTGTATTTTCCCTTCAGTTTTTTAGGATCTTCGACCCACAGCTTTAGAGCGATGGATGCTTTTTTCCCATCATCTTCTTCATTGAGCTCCACCCTCACACCCGTGTCCTCTGCAAAGAAGGCGTGATTCAGGAGGTCCTTGATGGAGTACCTGCAAGAAATACACAAACACTACAGACCTGCACTACATGTCACTGGCACAGTAAAACACAGAGGAGCACAAACTATGTCAGAGTCAAATAGTGGTATTGACGTCTCTTTGCAGGAGGAGAAACAAAACAACGCAGTGCTAATATAAGAGTCAATCTCTACCCACACAACAATGCGTCATAAGCTAGAGATAGAGGTTCTGGTCCAATTACCTTTCTTCCCATCTGTGACAGATGCACTCCCCGATTATTTCCTTAATTTCTGGGTCGCGGACTTTGCTGTAGCTGGCAGGTTTCACCCCCTAAAAAAATGTAATCCATGTCTTAGCTTACCAAATGACAGGTTTTAAACAGAAGTACTTGGAGAAATAACAGAAGAAACTTCTGTCTGCATTGTATAAAATCATTAAATACAGAGTCTGTTAAACACATTGTCTTTCAGACATATGAGCCCTGGGAATAAAGGTTTTCAAAAGAAATAGGACAGTTCTCATCTGCCAAATTAAAAGTGTCAGCATTAGCTACATTAGGTAGATACTGTTGTCTGTTATAACAGTAATTTAACTAAATTAGTCCGAGGTTTGCCCATGCTCTCAGGGTCCTGTGTTCCAAGCGCTGCAGAACCAGCTAGATGCTTTATTTTTTTCTTCCAAGTTTGACCTGGAACACCACAAGAATACAACAGTGCATCCGTGCAGGCAAAAAAACTCCAACAAAATAAGCAAACCTACATGTAAATTTGACTGTCTTTTGATCACTGCAAATGTGCAGAACAAATCGGATATTGTGGCAGGCTTATAATGAACCCTTCATTCTAAATAAGAACCAAAAAATTGAGATATAGCTTGGCTTTGTTGTAATCATAGATTGAAAGTTATTATAGCAGTGGCAGGATTTGAACGTGAACTCACGCTGGTCACTTTGCGGTAGATCTGAGCAGCATTTTGACATTCAGAGTAGGGATATTCAGATGTTGCCATCTCCAGCATACACATCCCAAAGGCGTAGACATCCACGGCCTCGTCATAGTGCTCCTCATACATCTCTGGAGCCATGAACTCTGGAGTTCCTGGAAAATTAATGCAAGAGAAGATGATAAATTGCAAACTTACTGATGGTTTAATTGAACTCCAGTGGCATCAACAGCAGAAACTGATCAGGCCTGATAAATCATGAAGAATTTTCTAAACATGACAGTAAAATATAGCAACTTTAAGGTGGTCAAAAAGCTAATAATAAGCCCAAACAGTCTCGGTAACTCTACACCAAGTAGGGTTAATGTTTTTTTAAAAGTGGCCAATGATTCAAAACACTCATTGTGTCACAGCTGGTCGGATCCAGTGACACATAGATGTTGAGCTTTTAATGTAATTCTACACTTCACAGAATTTTTTGTTTTGTTACATAAAAAACATAACAGGCACAAAATCCCACACTTAGAAGGAACAAGTTCCCTTATTTTGGTTATGCAGTACACAGATTTACTGTTTTCGTTTACTCCCACAGTGATCGTCAGTGTCATTTTTGGTACTGAACACTACCTGCAGCAACAAATAACCCGCTGACACATTTTAGTGTGGGATTGGTGAGTGCAGTGAAATATTTTGCCAAAGATAAAAACAGAGCCAAGAATTAAAAGCAAAACTAGAGCGAATGTTTGACTTTGATGCATCAGGTAAAATAATCTCGACCTCTAACGGTGTCTAACAGTGTCTGCACTGCGTTTAGTTTCTTTCTGCACTGTGAAAATTCCCAAATCATTAAAACAGCATTTTTTCCAACTGCACGGTAACTAACCAATAACACTTTTAGCAAAAGAGGCTCTCTTTAGAGTCGCCAGGCCCAGGTCTCCGATTTTGACAGAGCCCGTAGGACCAGTGATGAAGATGTTGTCACACTTAAGGTCTCTGTGGATGATCGGAGGAGTTCTAGTGTGGAGGAAGTGGAGGCCTTTGAGAATTTGTCTGCACCAGCTTCTAAGAACTTTAGGCTTCATGACCTTAAAGCGCTTCAGATACCTGTTGGAAGATAAAGAATGTATATATTATTGTGGTGATAGAGAATTTCCAGTTGACAACAAGTAAAAACTGGCTTTTCAAACATGCTGAATGATAGTTGCTGAAATCACATTTAGAGATCTATCCCCAAGTAACCTCTGCATTTATAAAATATATCCAGTTAGCTGTTCTTCTCTTGCTAATTTTTATAGCCTTCTCTAATGATTGTTCTTTTCTCAAACCAATTTCCTAATTGTGACTGCCTGAAAATCTTTTTCTATTCTGTCCTACCCTCTATTTGGTATTCATTTATTTTGCTAATTACTCTTTACGAAGAAAATCCACCCCCTTATTCACATAAATATATCTTTCAGCTTTTGGTTGGATTTCAGCCGTAGAATGACTAAAATTATGCCATTCAACAGCTTTGGGGAGCAAATTAAAATATAGCAAAAAAGACAAACAAAGGTTATGACAGGAAATATTTTTCTTTTGCCGCTCACGTTTTTAGTGTTCCTGAGGTCATCAGCTCTGTCACCAGAACAATACACTTTTTCCCTTTGACGGGTGATTCCCAGAAGTCATAAAATCGCACAATGTTGGGATGCTGGAGAGCCTTTAGCATTTCTGCTTCCTCTTTGAATCTCTGTCTCTCTGCTTTGGACAGTTTCCGTTCCTGGAAAAATGAAGAAAGAAAATGTTTTTTTGTTTTTTTTACTATTATTTATGCATCTACTTCTATAGAGTATAAAGAAACAGTATTAGTCTCTCTGTGTTTCTCTACCCACCTCATTTCTTTATATTTTGCTTCCAACAAGCCAGACTTCTATCTTTTCAAAGTGGTCTCAAATAATAGTTCTCCACGTTTTCTGAGGGATTTTCAGCCCAGTCCTTTTTTCATAGGAATGTTTGCTTGTTTGTTTGTTAAGCCATGTAACACTGACCTATGAAGCATTTAATCATAAAAAGGCAACTCAGGGGACTAACTGGTAATGGGTCTACACATAGAAGACAACTTAGCAAAAAAACAATTTTAACTCGTGTCTTTAGGCACTTTACTAGCAGCCTGGGACTGAAATACCTATTTTGGGCCCATTTCTTTAGTCAAATCTACAAAATAAATAACTAAAAAGATTGCCAAAGGTAACACAGTTTGACAGACAAAAAATAGTATCTTTTCTATTAGGTGAAAACTTTGCGTATCTCAGCATGTTGTGCAGTGTTTTCTTTACTTTACTTCACTGACAAGTGGAGAATAAAAGAAGTTGCAGGTCTCAAAACCTATCTGCAACAGATGAACAATGTCTGAAAGTCCTGTCTTTAAGAAATGGGAAAAAAGGCAGCAAAGACCTGACACAGGCCCTGAGAGATGCATCTTCATTTGATTCATGGACTGTTCACAGATTCCTGAGCAAAAATGGCCTCAGTGGAAGGCCAGGAAATGGAGAGGAGAGGCCAGGAGAAAAGGCTGAGGTATGCCAAATTACACAAGAACTGATGAATGATGATGAAGAAGGAGAGCCATCTGTGAAACACAGTGGAGGCTCTGTTATGGTTTGGGGCTGCATTTCAGCCAGTGGGGTTGGCGATCCTGTCAAAACTGATGAAATTTCTGTACCATCAGATTTTCTCCATCATGCAATATCACCTGGAATGCATCTGATTAGAAACAGCTTTAGTTTCAACATGACAACTATTTCTTTGAAAGCAAACACATATATAGAAATGCATATATTGAAGCAGTGTGGGATCGTGTTGACAGAACAGAACAAAAGGCAGAAACATCCAAAGAAGAGCTTTGAATGTCCTTCAAGAAGCCTGGAGAGCTATACCTGAAGACTGCTTAAAGAAAATACAAGAACACTTGCCTAATATAGTTCAGACAGTGCTGCAGAATAAAGTTGAACATACCAAACACTGACTTTCAAGCTCATTAGTTTTGTACAGCCTCTGTGTTTGCCTTCTATAATGTATTTCCACTTCTGTTTGCAAATGTTTCAATAAGTCGCTGCACCTGTTTCTCATTTAGGACAGATATGCATTCTTCTCAGTTAGAGATGGTAATGGAACAAATATGATTACTTTGAATATTCCCATTGCTTTATGATGGGACTCTGCTGCCTGTGGCTCATGTTTATAGTGAAAGCAGCTTTGGCATTTTGAGTGGGTATACATGGGGGCCTGAACCAATTACTCTCTTTATTACCACTGTGTAGAAAACACAAAGCACTACAGCATTCGTGAAATCACATTTTCAAAAGACAGATGAGTAGAAGTCTTGTTTAATCTGTTGCTGTGATACAGAGACAGACACATCTGTCATGGCAGATAAACGTGAGCTTTAATCACATTTTTAATCATAAATGTCAAACATGCCTCTGGTAAATAATGGAACAAAAAAAAATTCCATTAAGACTTTATAACAGCGAGCTAGGATTTCTTTTTATTTTCCTTTCAATCACAAAGCCACAAAGCATAATGAAAATCCTTGATTTAGGAATTAAATTGCACAAATTTTGAATTCTACATCTTTACTTATACAAGCCTGAGTGGGTTTGTGTATAATGGATCAATATTTTGACCCCTTTCTTCCCTGAACTGTTGTATAAATAGTAAAACAGCTGACAGCAAACACCCTCCGCATTTCAGTTTCTCTCTTGTCAGCACAACACATCCAACTCAAAGACTATGACAACGCCAAAAACTGCATGACCTCCAGGGTTTCTTTAGAGCCGTCTCCATAGACACGTTTCAGCAGAAACCATTCGGGTGCAGTTGATGTTTCAAAGGCCAGGGGGTCCACAATAACCTGATGTACATTTCATGCTATTGATTATCGACAAATACCTGAGAATCAGATTTCCTGCAAAGCTCATAGTGATCTATACAGTGCTCAGTCTGAGGTGTCTTATATTACATGCAACACTGTGAAGGATACAGATCCGACTTTCTTTCATAACTCTGATTCTTATGGTGTACAAATATATTACAGTTTGCCTCATCCCCATATCTTCATTGTCCTTTTTTAAAAGCAATTTTCATACAAATTATTAGAAGACGCTTTGAGGGATAAGATCTCAGCAGGGTGTGGCACCAGGATTGTCTTTACTGAGACATAATTGTGCACAATGAAAAACTAAATAATAAATAATATTAGAAATAAAATAGAATGTTGTGGACACAAATCTGGAAATAATATAAACATACAGAACTCTTGGTTTACTGTGTATCAAATACTTCGTATACTATAAACTGTCCTTAGATGAACCCAGCCTTTCCCGTTTCTACTCTCATGGTGCAGAAGGCTGCATCAGCAAGACTCACTCTCCAGACACATCTGTGTGGTAACAGCACAAGGGTATAAATCGCTGTTTGATATTTATTACTAAGCCATCAGACAAAATGTACAACTGTGAGACACTTCTCAGTGTGGTAAAGTGCTTTGGCATTTTACTAAATTGTGTTAGGCGATTTGCTAATTTCGGGTAAACAACTCAGTCAGCAAACGTTTGATCGCATTTTTGCAGGCAAGTAAGTAGCAAAACTGGCAGCCTGGTTTGCTCAACACCAGGAAAAAAGCTCCACTTCAAATACAATTCATTTCTGATTTCTATGAGCATCTATGTTTTCTGCTGTCTCATTCTTAGTTCTACCTCCGTACGCACACAGTGTACAAACCACACAGGGCATCTGAGTTACAGCAGCTTTTTTTGTGAGTGAGTTACACAGACAGAGACACTCCGAAGGGCAAGGCCTCATCTCGAGGGACAGAATGGTTGAATCATCACTAGATCTCCCCTAAGAACCTGCTCAGACACCACGCAGATGCAAACACACACGCATAATGCACAAATACACTTACTGTAGAGCTCATCAAACGTGACACACATTCAAAAAGCACACTCTGCTGTGAAATCCAGTTAATTATGTGTTTAAGTGCTTAAAAATATGCCCAGTGGTTGGATTCTCTTCTAACAGACAAGAATGAGCACTGAAGATATGGATAGGTGTACTGATGAGGATCAGAAAACCAAATGCAATAAAGTAATAAAGTTAATCTTAAACAGTAGTGACGCATTGTGGTACAGCCTTGGACAATCGCCGTTCTCACTCTTCAAATGAGATGAAGACACGCTGAATGGGCTACATCAGAACTTCATTTTCATCTACTGAATGCAAATAGAAGCACAATGTAACTACCACTTAATTCTATGAACCTTACAGAGCTAGGCTGTGATTTTTTCATTAGGGAGAAATTCAGTGATTTGTTGGGCCAGACTTGCTGAGATGCCTTCCTACACTTTCTGCAAGAGTATGAGGTGAAATGTTTTTCATCTTATATGAAATAATTGTAATTATGATCAGTTAAAGCACACGAAAGGTTTCTAAGATTACGATGAGATGGTGACTCATCATTTTGTGCACTGGCCCCAACGTCTAAGTCCGCGTGTAACGTGAAAGCCAATTCAGTGACTAAGCATACACCAAGAAGTAGTAGCTATTTAAGTTTAATGAAAAAGATCTGCTGGGAAAAACAAAGACGCTTCTGCTTGTGTTTTGATGCAGAATGTCTTAATACTTAATTTTTAAAATTCTATTCTTATGCCTGCTCATAAATCTGCAGACTGAAAAAGCTTAGCACAATTTGAGCCCTTAAAGGGCAGCCACTGTCTACAGGTCTGTCTGCAGACTAATCTGTATATCACATGGGCAGCATCTAAACTAATCATTAGATTACCACATACACAGATTAGTGATACAGCAAGCTGTCACTCATATGAAACACTGCATCACCCCTTGCTAAAATATAGCCTATAAGCAAATCTGACTAATTAAAGTGCCATTTCAGTTCATCTGCTGACATGGCTGAGTAGGTACAGATGAAATTCAATTCACTTAAGAGTCAATAATGTGCACAGGGGACAAGGAGGATGCAGATTTCCTTTAAATGACATCTTTGTAATCTACTGAATCAGAAATGTGCTGTTACTTCAACTTGGTTTGGAAATAGCAACATCTAGGCTAAGAATTATAAAAATAAAAGCTTGTAAACTGATTGCTGAATTTTAAAAAAGTGAAAAAGTGAAGTTTCTTGTAATACATATATATGTGTGCGTGTGTTCACACATAAATCCTGTCATATGTATTGTAAATGCTTGTAACTTCAGCTTGTTTAATCAATCCCAGCTATATACAGAACCATGGCTGTGACCTGGCTGAGCTAATGAGGGAAAGAACCAAAGGCAACAATGTAACACAGCATCCACTGACCCTGCCTGAGAGTTTGGTACATGACTGGCATGTATATGGGTATTTATGTGTAATATAAAGATCTTTATTATTGTCTTGCTTTTTATTTTTAACCTTCAAATGAGCGAATGAAAAACAATCAATGATGCTGTAGAGCTCTTGTAGTCAGCTAATTTGTGTTGGCTGATTGATGTTGGACCTCAGTGATTAGCGAACCCACCTGAAGCTCACACCAGGCCACTTCGACCCAGGTGTCGGTGTCGAGACCTTTATAGACAGTTTTGAAAGACCCTCTCCCCAGCTCGATGTCAAACTTGAGGAAGCGCCCTCCGGGCGAGGTGGCCACAGCCTTCATTCCGGGCTCCTCTTCGTTTTCGTCACTTCCTGCTTTACCTGTGACATCGGAGGGCACGACCTCTGCCTTGGGCTCGCTTTCGCTCCTGCCTCCCTTCTCCTCGTCCGCGTTCACGCTCTCTGTGGCCATGTCTTTCAGGCCCACCTGGCTCTCCGTGCTCGAGGTCTCCTGGAGGCGGGTCGCGTGCAGAACCCGCGCCCGACTCCTGTCAACGATGGTTCGCAGGTCGATGTTGAGTGCCGGGCTGCTGTTGGCGAACTCCGGTGTGTCCACCGGCGGCTCTTCGGAGTCTGACAACCACTGGCTCCGCCGAATAAACCTGTGGCGGACCGGCACCTGGTAGTCTGTGGAGGGGTATGAGCTGGGGTCACTTGCTCCACGCAGGGCTGTGTTTTGTATGTTGACATTGTGGTCTGTACCATTCTCATACACAGGCCTGCAAGCATTTGCATTAATGTCCGAGTCCAGATTAGGTGCTGAGGAAAACGTGGATCCCAGTGGCGGATCTTTGCTTGAATCCACCGAATCCATCCCGGTTACGCTGTTAAACACTCACCGGCGACATTGTTTCTGGAGGATGATGAGCCGCTCTCTCGTAGCGGTGGAAGAGTTCGCTGCTTACCTGCAACACTCCAACACGGTGACGCAGTTCGCCAGTTTAGGGTGTATGGCCTTGGGTTTTTTGTTTGTTCGGGACACAAAACATCCCCCAAAAAATGTCCAGCGGGGAGGATGCGTGCATTGCTCCTTGCCACCTCACGCCCCGGTGGTCCACCTTGCTGCAGTACAGCACAGAGCAAGGCGACCTAAGCCTGGTGTCGCTGTCAGTTTAACCTATGAGCTCACGAAATCCGTTTCGACCACATTGCATAAGATCCTGCGCCTACTATAAAACTGTGATTTGTTCCGCAGACAAATAGCTGTTCTATAGGCCTACAGTGGACAGGCGGGGATGTTTAGACCGTGGCACGCACCGGCTCCTCCAAAGACACATCACGGGACAAGCAAGTGCGCGTCAGTCATCGAGACGGACTCCGGTGGATGCAAATATACAGCAGGTGTTCCGGGTGAAAGTGTGAATCAGCTCCGAGAAGTGTGACCTCAGCATAATTCCATCTATCCTCACACTCCGCATATACTTTTTCCTCTCCTGCGTCGTCCTGAAGCCGAGTGCAGGATGGACACAAGCGCTTATCAGATTATGCTCACTGCGGCACAGCTTGCCCCACGTCGTCGGAGCACACAGCTCTCAGCGCATCTGTCGTTCCAGATGATAATGCTGTTTTCTTCTTCAATTTCATCTCTTTCAGGTTTGGGGAAACTAGAACATTTCACGGCACAACCCACGCCCCTAGCAACAACACGTATCCAATAACTCGGCACGCTTTTAGGCGGCACCTTTACCCTCCCCGGACACAGGCTGTGTGGTCCACACCGCTGTCCGCCCTCATCGTGACGCGCTAAGCCTCCAATGGGAAGATGACTGAAAGCCTACCAACCAAGAGGCACGCTGTGGGTTACCGGATAACACGCACCGGACCCTGTCTTAACAGTAGACTCATCCGGATGGATGACGTGCAGACAGACCGACACATGAGAACATCTGGTGTATTTCTCGAAGAGCTATCATAGGTTTTAGTCCCCTTAGACATTTTATTTGTGCTTACAGGATTTATTAAACATTTATTAAACAGGGTTAAACGGGGTCTTTGTATCCATATCGTAAAACAAAAACAAACAAATTATAAAAATTAAGTTGGAATTAAGTCAGAAAGGTAGCATATATTAATACATATTTAACATATTTTCATATTATCTCTGTGACAAATATTATTTTCATTATATTAATAAACTACAAAGATCTGATAACAGTCTACATCACATATCTTTAAAGTATTTAAACACTTTTTATGGTGATCTGAAAGATGTACGAAATATGTTATTATCTTTATTTTAAAAATAATATAATATATTTATAATTTTAATCAGGGCATTTGGTATCAGCAAAATTAGTGGAAAAAATGTTGTCAGCACCTGGGGTACTGACTTTTTGTTTTATACTTTGTGAAGCACTTTGTGATCTTTTTATCTAGAAATGTGCTATATAAATAAAATTTTACTTACTTACTTACCAGAAGCTCAAAACAGAAGTCAGTATTGGATAAGCTGTTTGGCATTGGCAGGGAAGATTTGACAAGTTTATAAGGGCCCAGCCCACACACTCAACTCGCTGCTCAATCCACAAATGCATTTTCCTTACAAGTGTGGCACCATTTAAGGGGAAATAAACAGGCTTTCTAACACTATGAGATTTATTTCCAAAAAGCATTGTTACAACAAAGAAATAATTGACCAAAATAAAACAAGTGGAAGCTCAGAGGAGGACATAACCAGTTTTTGAGACACCTGATCTGGGGCAAAATGATGACCCCAATATCAATTATGGATACCAAGTATTGTGTAAGGCAGGGCTCTGAAGACGTGGAGCTCTGAGGTTTGGCTTCTCAACTGCTATCTTTTCCCCCTCATTTGTTTCTGTGATGGACTAATCTTGAAGAATCTGTCCTGATTTATTGGTTTGGCAATAACTAGGAACCACTAAATATGGATCTAATGTTATCCGAGTCATGCTGTGAACACAGATATGCTGATGAATGTTTGCAGTTTTAAGGCCATATTCGGAGATGAAGCACCTCCGTTTGGCTTGTGACATTTTTTCTACTCTAAAATCTGGTTTCCTATTTTCTGTGTGATGTAATCAGAGGACCAACTGTCTTGGTGTATGTGGGCAGCATTGTCATTTTTTCACCCAATTTCTGTATCATCTAAATTGAATTGATAAAGACAGGAAAGGTACGGTGTAATGCACTTTTAGAATAAATACTATAAATACTAATACTGTCAAACTTTAAGCTGATGCTTGTGCTTCTCATCTCCTGACAGCTCTAGGTCTGACTCCTTGTCCACGATTGTGAGGAAAATCGTTTCTGCCTCAGGCTGCCCTCTGCTTCCTATAATTTGAACACAAAATGCGAGGTCCCTACAAAGGACACTGATTAAAAGTAAAGAGGTAAAAAATAAATAAATAAATAACTAAAAAGGTAAAATTGACATACATCTCTTAAATCCTAAAGCTAGGAGTCTCAAACTGAAGAAAACAATTTGATTTTAAGCAACAGAATCAAAATATTTGCAATATTATCACTTACCCTCCCTTTTGGCCATAAAATGTGGAAACTGCCATTCCCCTCATTTAGAGCCCAACAATCTAGCACACAGTATAGTATCAAGGTTTCTTTCTTTCTTTCTTTCTTTCTTTCTTTCTTTCTTTCTTTCTTTCTTTCTTTCTTTCTTTCTTTCTTTCTTTCTTTCTAAGACTATACTGTGAAAGTATTTTTACATTCTCCACACCTGTCAACAGGAAAGTTGAGTTTAACATTTTCTTTTTTTATATAGTGTCGACTTTGTGAGACAAAGATCACCAGGGTAACGCAGGGAGCAATGGGAATCAGTTGGTGGGTGGTTACAGGCGCTCTAAAGGCCCATAAAAACAATTATTAAACAGTCCTGTCATCCTCACTGTGCCTTATGTAGCACTCACACATCACCTAAAGTATGTTCGACATTTCAGCTGAAAGATCTGACTTGCTTTTTCGTACTTAATTTGATACTTGACTTGTAGTAGAAAGCAATCTTGTAAAACGTAATCATCATCCACTGGTGACAAATATATGATGCTATGACATCATGTAGTGGGTGGTTTACGAACTGTTTATTCCTGGAGTTTTACATACATACATACATATATATATATATATATATATATATATATATATATATATATATATATATATATATATATATATATATTTTTTTTTTTTTTTTTTTTTTTTTTTTCTTTTTATTTTTTTTTTTTTTCTTTTTATTTTTTTTTTTACTTTGGTCGACTACAGGTAAAGTTATATCTAAGACAGTGTAGCACATTCAAAAACCAAAAAATAAAAATAGTTCACATGTCAAACGCTAATTTTTTAAATAAATTCTTTGTCTCTTTTCCTTATATAATCATATGAATTCAACTTGTTGTGCTCCACATATACGACTGGTCTCTCACAGGTTCTGTGCCCCACAGACTGACAGCCCAGGTGTACAATGCTCTCCAACACCTCAAACTATTGTACCAGATTACGTTATTTATCCTTACATTTTATTGGCAGTTTGCACATCATTTACACTTTTTTACTTTTGTTTTGGTTCAAAAGAGAGTGAGCTCCTCTCAGTGGACAGCCTTGGATATAAATACAATGTGAGTGCAAAAAAGAGTCAGTTCATTTATTCCAATTCTGGTTTTTGTTTTAAGGGCAATACAGTGTTACCACACTAGATGGCAGTAAAGTCATTCTTCAACCGTCTGTCAGCGAATAAGTGTGACAATTATCCAAATAAAATTCCATTTATGTGTATTTGTTACTATAAGTGTGTCGTACTAACCCCATATATATAGTATAGTGATACCCAGCCCTCCTCGCAGTTCTGCTATCAGTCCCCCGCTTTTCTGAGGACAGCCGCCCTCATGTTTTAGGGGCGGTAGTCTGAAGCTATTCGTCCTTCTTCCTCACATATTCATTGTACAAGCCTGTAAGGACCGACTACAGCCGCGGCTTCCCAGAGACCCACGGCGGAGCTACATGAACATCCTCTTCGACAAACATTGACAATAATGGCTACTGAAAACTTCGAACTGACCGGCGATGCGGACAAAAACGGCGAGGCAGAGGTAAGGACTGCCAACAAATTCTTGTTTAGCAATATTAAGCCCCCACTAACATCCTGCTCAGGCTCAGCCAAGCGCACATTCCCACAGAAATAATTCCCAGTTTGTGGCAGTGTGGGATATTCCCGGTTTACACGGGTTTTTTTCCCCCCCATTTCTCTCATCTGTTCACTCCTCCTCATAATGTCGCTTGATGTAGACCAGAGTGACTGAACTTGTGTCATTCAAAGTATTAGACATGTAGTGAGCTAACTGTAGCCAGTTAGCTGGGGTTTGCTTTAATTTGCCTCAAATTCCAAGGCTAATTTGAACATTTTCTGACATTTTCCACTTGGTTTTGTGGTGTGAGAGAGAGCTCATCTGCTGTTGTCCAAAGGCTCAGTTTACTTCAGATGATACATGAGGACGGAGTTTAAGCATTGTTCTGTGGAGGATCAGGTGGATCAGGTGGACCAGCTCACCCAAAATCAGTGATAACATGTAACTAAGTGGTTTGTTCAAATAGTACACCTTTGACATGCCTTTGTGTCCGTAGTCTGAGATCAGTAGGAGCTTTATTTATATGAGATGTTTAGAGTTATCTATGACATTAAAGTAACAATGACATTTTGTGTTTTATCAAAACGTCCAAGGTGTCACTTGCATGAGAATACACTGCATGCTGACCTTAGCAGATGAGTGCAGTGGAAAGCTGAAATAAAGTGTTGTGGGGTACACTGCTTATTCTGCGATAGTAGTCCACAGGAAAGACTCTGAAGTATGCAATGGGTAATCCAAACCCAAGGCAGAGAAACCCAGTCATTAATGATTGACAGGCTCATTTGAGTTGTATCAAAATTATTAGGTTACTTGATTAAGTGAATCTTATAATCAGTTTGTTACTACCACTATTAAATAGCTATTAGTTATGAATTTGATTAGTCATAATTTGAGTCGCATTAGTTGCATTCCCGATATGTCAGTAATAATTAAAAGTAATAATGATCAAGTCAGTGTGAGAGACATACACCAAGTTCTCACCTCAGAGCTCCTGTGCTCCTTAGACTGCGTAGTACATTCAGCTTGATTTAATATTAACCACAGACATTATATAAAACAGGAATGGCAGCCAAAGGTCACTCATTCCCATAGTAGTTTGGGTTATGGTGGCCTTTGGTTAGCTACACAATGAAAACCACATCACACATGAGCAACAGTCAAAGACTAAACGCAGTATTACAAGCTGATCATCCAGATTGCCCCATTAATGTTAGTGTTATGATTTCTAATCTTTACTAGTAATAGGCTTTCTTTTGATATGTAAAATAAAATAATACTGCTGATAGATGATGTGATCACATAAATAATGCAGCCCTGAGTCCAAAAAATTGAAACAGAGGAATTTTTTTTGCTCATTCTGTTTACCACTGTGTTGTCATAGCTCTTGTTGCAGCACAGTTGTTGGTAGATGTTGATAGAAAACCAAAAGCCAATTCAGAAGTACCTCAAAAAATTCTATCTGAAGATGGTTAAAGCTGTGGTTGTAAAAACACTTCCTGTCCTATAGAAACAGCTCTCTCTCTCTTGACCTCTGTAAAGACTTCCCTGCTGAGTTTGTGAGGTCAGTCCCTCGAGTTGGGTCAGAATGAGTTAAAAAGGTTGCTCATTGGCTAATGAGTTGTTAATCAGAAGTCATCACTC